AGATTTGGGCCCTAAAATCCCAAGGAATGGGAAGCTGCTGACCCAGCAACTCTACCAAGTTACAAACTTTTCCTGGAGTATTCTGGATGACTGTGAGGAAACTGTGACCATACAGAATAACTGCTGGGCTCATTTTACACATGGACGTCCGTGTTACCATAAATTGGGTGGTGGTGGTGGGGAAATATGAAAAGATATTTCTTTTATGATTTGTGTTTCTTCTGTTGCTTTCCAAAAGACAGCCTCTGAAACACAAATCATCCATATTAACGCAAGAGAGCTATGGCTGATTCATGTTCTTCTGTGTTTCCTTTTTCTATGTAGCCTTCCTTTCACCCCGTTATTTGTAAAATCACCTGGGAAACATTTGTCTTAATACTGCCATGAAGGCTGTTGTCAGCAGCCAATCAGGATGACGAGGAGTGAGGGGAGCAAGGATTTTGAGTTAGTGAAAGGACTTGGATTAGTTGGAACCCAGTGAGGAGGAGAAAATGCTCTTTCTTGGCTTCAACATTGTTGTCCTGCCTGCCTGCTTGCTTGCTTGATTCAATAACTCAGTCAAGCACCTAGCAGCGAACCAGCAGGAGTTTTGCCATGGTGCCTACAGGAGGCAGAGTGGGGAGCCAGAGAGGAGGTAAGAATGGTTTCTGCCTTCCCTTTCTCTTTCCCTCCCTGGTGAAGGGGAGCCCTTCTGTCTGAAAGGTGGCTGAAGCAGGGCAGCCAGCATGAATAAATGGAAGACGGAGAAGAGCTGGAAAGGAGGAGGAGGAGGAGGAGAAGCCATGATGGTGTTGCAGCTGGCCATGGGCATTTTCCTGGTGTCTAGGATTTTAAAGGGCTGCTGCAGCCAGAAGCAGAAGCAGTTAGTCAATGCCATGGCCAGCCCCCCTGTAGTTGCTTGCTAGCTCACAAGACAAGGGGCCACAGCTCTATGACTCAGCCCTTAGTGGCAGTGGAGGCGGCAGCAGCAGAAGGAAAAGAAGCCGTTGCTGGCTGAGCTTTGGTGGTGGCTGCGGTGGAAGCAAGTGAGGGGGCTGGCATGGGGGTTCCCTGCGCCATTCCTTTCTCCTCCCCCTCTCCTTCCCTGCATTCAGCTCTTTCCATTTTGACTGGCTCATTGTTTCCCCCTTTCTCCTGTTAAATGGGAACTCACTTGCTTTGCCATGATTCGCCCTCCCCCTCGACTCCACCATTCTGAAACTTTAGGGCAGGTCTTGGTTGGATATGGGTGTCAGTAGATTTTTATGCCTGCTTTAGGGCTTTTTTGACGGACTGCCAGATGCAACATGAATGGGGAAAGATGGCCCAAAAAGGATCTGAAAGTGCTCGTCTCTTCCTTGTTACATGGAATGACCAGAACATGGAAAACATAGAAGCAAAGAGGCAGCATCAAAAAGAACCCAAAATGAATGGACGTTTCTACCATGCACATCCCTAATAGTTACATCCCATTATTGATTGGCAGAGTGGTGGGGAGTGCCATCTGGCTTAGGTCTCCACAAGGGGAGACCATAATTGACTTTCTGAGAACAACTTTAGCAGTGCTGATACTCCATCTGTACCAGTAAGGTGCTAGCATTTTATCATGTATTGATAATAATATTGAGTTGTTTTATGGAACAAACTAAAGCCATGGACTTGAGGTGATGATAATGTACATTCCTTGAAGATGTGGGAGTCTCACAAAAGCCTGGTCTGCAACTGTTTCAGTTTTAAAACTTTTCAACTTGGCAAACTATCGTGAACACAGCAGTGCCTTACAAAGCTGGTCAGTCTGCCTGGTAAAATCTAACGCATCAAGTTTATTACTCTGTTAAAGTTTGGCTCTGAGCAATACTCTCTGTTTGTCAGTTCTAATGGGATCCATTTTCACATGTAGATACAACACCCATCTTCAGTCTAATAACACTGAAGCTAAATTAAAACAACATTGCTCTTTGCCCTTGAAAAGAGATCATTAAACTCTTAGGCCTGGACTTCTCCTATTATGATTCTAAACATTTACATGAGGAAAAATAAGTGGGGAAATGAATAAGATGTCCTGCCATCATTAGGTTAAGATTCCTGTCTCTGAAAACTTCCTATCTGACCACAAAAGCAGTATGAGGAAATAACAGGACAGCTGTGGTGCACAGGCCACTTACCTACCTACTACCTTTACGCTGAGGCAAGTCCCAAGACCTCATCAGTGCATAACATAAGCCCCTTGAACAAGTCTGACCTTAAAGGAACACTTTACTTTTACCCAGTACTTTGCAAGTACAGACTCATGGGGTTTTTAATTCCTTAGAATTCACAACAGCTCAGTTACGAACGACTCTCAGTGATAGCTAGGTTGTGGCCCTCTCCACCTCCTCGATTTAGCCAGGCCCTGCTAGTCAAGAGACCAGTCCTTTGTAAGAATTTTTATAATTATTTTCAATTAAAAAATAGAGTTTCATAGAATCAGTTTATATTGCTCAAGCTTTAGCATAAAGAACATATTCTGAGATCATTACAGTTAAATAAAATTACTAATCCCCATTAAAATAAAATAAAAAACTACTAAAGTGGGCTAATCCCACCTCCTGGCAATCAGATACTTTACCATTCACTTACATAACACATTCCAGAAAGAATCATCATCTCTCAATTCCTTCAGAAATCAGTTAACTTGTAACTAAGCTCTCTTCACACACTTCTCCTTCCATCTTTTCTACATTCTCTGACCCCTCCCTTCTTCTTGACACTCCATGGCTGTTAACCAATTAGCCTCAAGTGGCTGTAACACCTTCCTCCACTCTCAATTCCCATGAAGATCCAGGTGTTTTATCTCTTCTCCAATTAGCTCAGAATGTTGAGTCTTTCACGGGCCCCTTGATCCGACCTTCAGCTTTATCATGAACCATGTTGTACCAGTCTTCAGAAAAGCACTCTCATAGCACTTAGAAAAACACATTCCCATGTCTCTCAAATCATCTTCACACAGAACCTGTCTGACTCCATCTTACATTTCTCTGACTACATATCCAACAGTGCATCAACTCCATCACATGCTGCCCTTTAAATTTCAAAAATACAGGGTTACATATGAGCCTGCATTTTTGACTAAACAAAAGCTAGGTTACATATTTTGGCCTCGTAATTTCACTAACTCTATGTTAAAGTTATACAATGAAATAAATGGCAAATTTTAATTATGCATTCTAACTAGCAAGCATGAGGTAGAAAAAGGTTCTGTCAGGAGCAATTGAATATAGAACTCTGGGGTTAAGCACTTCTAGGAGTCTGGAAAATAGAAAACAGTTATGTTAGTAGCAAAACAGAATCACACTCTGATTATGCTCAGGAACCATTGAATTCAGAATATATTCTGGTTATTCTCAGGAACCATTGAATTAGGAATATATTCCGGTTATGCTCAGGAACCAGGAAATCAGAAAACACTTCACCAACCTTCTGCCACGTCTGAAATTCCACAACGCATCCTGGACAGGCTGTTTACAACGACATTCAGCTTCCCTGGAATGTGCCGAACCTCAAAATCAAAATCCTGTAAAGTTAAACTCCAACGCAACAACTTTTGGTTATGAGATTTCATCTTTTGCAACCAGACTAATACACAATGTTCAGTCTGCAGGATAAACCTGCACCCCCATAGGTAAGGGCATAAATGCTGAAGTGTCCAGACAATAGAATAGCCCTCTTTTACAGGTACAGAGTAACTTTTTTCACGGGGAAATAACTTTTTTTACTGAAATAGGAAATAAGATAAGAAATCCCATCATCTCCTTTTTGTAACAACACAGCCCTAATCCCCACCTTAACAGAAAGTGTTGTTCTGAGAATTAACAGAGGAGAGAGATTGTCATATATGCCTCTGTGAGCTCACTGAGGGGAAAGGGAGTATAAATGTAATTAATAGATAAATCATGCCACAGTACTTGTAACTTGTTGAATTCAGTTCATTAAATAATACAGATCTTATAGCCCTTCTGAAATCTGCATTGGTGTAACTTTTAAATGGTTTAAACTTTTACTGGGACAAGTTGTCTTCCTCTCCGATCTACATATTCAAATATTCATATTCAAATCAGATGACTCACCAATCCATCCACATGAGCATGAGACAATAATTCACTGCTCTCAACTAGATTACACATTGCAAGTGGCCCCCACTGAACCTTTGGTAGGGTCAGACATCCCAGAAGTGCCTGAAAAATTGGGATCTATTGGCTGAAATCCTCTTCCATAAGTTACATTCCCATAAGACTGATGACAGAGTGATTTTGTGGAAATAAAAAAATCTGAATTTCCCCCTCCCCAAAGGTCCTGCACGATCCCTTCAATTGTTAGAAAGCCATTGGAGGCCGCAGGGTGAGGGTGGGATCTTTAATTTCCAAAAATTGCTGCCGACACTTAAGTCATCCATCTTGGGACGATTTGAAAACTCCCACACACACATGCACACACTCTCTGTGATACCTAATGGCTTTTCCATAACGAAAACCTCAGGATCTTTGGAGGAAGCTGGAATTTTTTTTATTTCTGAAAAAAATGCCGCATCTGATAATATTAACAGCCTTACGCAGTGTAGTTGCACAAACAGAAATTCAGCTCACACATTCCTCATATTCAAATCAGAGGGTATATAGAATGGACATGTGGGCCTGAGTGGGGCTTGCCCCTAATCCATATGCATTCCGTTTTAGCACATGTTCTTTAACTGGGGTGGGGGGGCATGCACATTGAAACAAGCCTTGGCCTAACAGCCAAATATACAGATGATTATGTAAGCCAGGAAGCATGAACTTCCGATGAAAAATAAATACATTGATCAAAAAGAATGAGGATTAATCAGGGGGAAAGTGACCAAAGGACAAAAATCCTTATAAGATGTCAAGAGAGGCCAAAATGCCAACCCTGTCTGTCTTTCTAGCTATCACTCACCACTGTTTACTTTAAATGCGATGTTGTTGCACTTATTCTATCAGCTTTTTTTTTCTTTTTGCATTTCTTAGGTTCATATCGCAGTGCCTTGCTGTGGAACCAGGATTCAAGAGTTTGAAACCCTACCCTGCCTTCCAGGAGAGGGGCCAGCAGCAGGGAACACACAGAGCTTGTGTGGCTGGTGAGATTTACATGCCTCGCCACCTATGTGGTCTTGGGCAATCTGCCCAGTCCCGGAGCACACCGGGAGGAGGGACTAGCAAACCACTTCTGAGGGCTTTTTACTTAGAAAACTGTGGGCATATCACTATAAATTGTAATCGATTTGACTTCGTATCATGGCCAAAATCCTGTTGCACAATTATGCAAAAGGTGTAACTTTTAGAGGCGAACTGCCGAAAGTTAAGAAATCTCCGTAGGCCTTGTACACCAAGTTGCTGACTCAGTGTGCAAAAAATAATGTCTGCAGAGATTTCTTATATTATAGCAATTCACTTCTAAAAATCACACTTTTGGTGTATCTGTGCAATAAAGTTTCAGCCATTAATGTGTTGTTGTCATTGTGTCTGCTTCTAAAATTGACTTCCAAAAAACAGTTTTAGAATGCCTTTCCCTGTTTTATCCACCAATCAGTCTTCTAGAACTGGTGTTACACGATCAATCCTTGTTCGCTATTTTTGGGGCACATCAATATTCTTAGGCACTGAAAAATGAATACTGTCTCACATACAGTACATAAGCAAAAAAAAAAGAGTTCTTTCAAACCAATCAAAACACCATGTCATAATTTGTTCATCAGCACCATGTAAAATCTAACTTGAATGGAGAAACAAAGTCCTTAAATTTTCAAGGGAGTAGATAGAAGGAATTTGATAAAACATGATTTGATGTGTGTGGAATTGATTGCTTATTAAAAGCATCCCCATTCAACCTTTTTTTTAAAATAAGGGTCTGTTCCATTCCGTCTTCCAAAGCAAACTTTCAGCCTCATATACGATATCTTTTGGGATACCAAATCATTATGAATAAGCAAGTTATCTCACTGAGGCACCCTGGGCAGTGCACTGTAAAATAAACTTGAACATAAGGACATTACTTTTATTTTAAATTTTCTTTCCACGCATAACATTCCAGGGTCCTTCCCAGCCTTTGGGCAAAATCTACCAGAGAAGAGAGGAAATTCTTTACACCTAACATGCATTTAGAAAAGAAAAAACAAAGAAAAAAAGAAAAAGAAGAACTGTAAGTGTCCTTTCCAGAGAAACAGCATTTTTAGGGAGGCAATTTTAATTGAAGCTGTAGTTCAGGGCAAAAAGTTTTTGTTTTTGAACAAAACTTAACCTCCACTCGGGAGATCTAATCTCTGCCCAGAGGAGCAGCCTGCCCTCTCATAAGGCAGTTCTGCAATATAGGCATTCTGCAACTTTTTTCACCTGAAAAGTTGTAAACAAGTTTAGCACACGTTTCAGCCACTTACTGCACATTGTTCTAAAATTTAAAAGAGGACAATAAATAAATAAATAAGCAAATTAGCCAGGACCAAAAATTACCTCAAGAAATCTTTTCTTTATTCCAAGATTACGTTTTTGTTCCAGCCGACACAATAATTTATTGGGACAAAACCATTATTTGCGGACATGATGTCTCCTGGTTGTCAGGAGGTTTTATCCATTCTCTTGGGGTTAAGAAACTGTGGTATTTTCATTGACCATCAGGTAAGTACAATGTAGATCATTCCCTAACATTAACAAACAACCCTAATCCCACTGCTAAACCTCAATACTGTGGCATTCTCAATGGGATCAAAAATTACCCCCACAACTCACTTAGTGCAGGTATTTTTATCTTGGCACAAAGGGACTGAAGTGCAAAGTACAACATGTGTACAGGTGGTTAATGTACTAATGAGTTTGGCTGTATGTTCACTGACAACCGGTGGCAAGAAGAAAAATTACTTGGGAGATTAATAGGGAACATCTTTTGAGGGCCTTTCCTTTGATTCTTCTTTCCAGGATTTCTGTGCAAAACTAAGCCCTCACCTGAGCCTGAATTTGTACCACTAAGAGAGCACATTCATTCTGTCCACCAAACAAGTACAGGTAGAAATTCCTCTCACCTGGGAGGCTGGTGACTTGTTTTTTCAGAAACGACATAGACAGCATCAAAAGGTGATCTTGTAACATGTCTTATTAATTATAATTTACCATTAAATAACTTATGATTTATGCTGACCCTTTCCTAGGTTTTCTAGGCTGAAATACCAGTGGTTTACCAGTCCCTGTGACGTAGGCCTATTAAAAAAAATTAATTGGATGAATATGGCACCAGAATGTGAGGAAAACATTTGTACATGTTCTTTACCTCAGCTGGGTAAAGTGCAGTTTGGTCTTCTTTTACAGAGAAAACCATCGATAGTAAACTTGGCTGCTTTTATCACCATAAGATTGCATATTCTCTATCCCGTTGAATGTGTGGACCAATTGTTTAGGAATTTTTATAAACGTGGTGTCAAAGCACACAGTGTACATGTGTCTGTTTCTGTGTCTCCGTGTGTTAAAAATCCAGGTCAAGAATGCAAAAATATATTCTGTTTTTATCTGAAACCTCATTTTGTAGGAGAAACTTGCATAAGCTTTCAAGCTAGTGTTGAAACACTACTTTAGTTGGGACTGGCAACAGGATATTGGCTATATAAATGGGATGTCTGACAGTGTCCTTCTTGTTCAGCAATTCTGTAAGAATGTTCTACTTACATATGTGAAATACATATGCAAAAAAAGTACTACTTACATATGGGAAATAGTTGAAAGACAATTGATATGTGATAAGCTCACACCTTAATATGTTAATCTGCTGCTTTGCATTTGATCATCATGGAAATGAAAGCACAATGTAATCAGGAAAGAAAGACTTCAAAGGAGTTTATTCAAAAGCAGTAGTATTCTTAGGGCAGAAAAATACAGTACATAAAAACTACATGGAGTTTTCCCCCAGGCATTTTCCAATGTACGTAAGGGTGGATTCAGAATCTGTACAGTATAGCCATTTCCATAGGGAATCATAAAGTATGGCAGTCTGATTTGGTAATATCAGAAGCAGCATTTAGATGGTTAACAAAAGGTGCTAAATCAAAGTGCAAAATGATACTGTCTTTTTAAGTGTGATTCATTCCTTCTTGCATACCCTGGGCAGTGCAGAATTTTGAAAGCCACCAGTTGGACCATCCATTTTTCATTTCTGTCACTATCCAGAGAGAGATGTACATCTTGCTTTCTTCAAGGCTTGGAACAGTTCATTTTGATGAACACTTCAATACAAACTCTAGATCAGTTTACTTATTTATTTGATTTATACCCAGCCCATCTGGCCTATAAGGCCGCTCTAGGCGGCTTCAGTGGTTCCTAAATAGAGATGGGCACGAACCTCAGTTCAGAGGTTTGTGCTGGTTCATACACACAGCACCACAGATCTGTGCGTTTCCTTCCCCTGCCTCCCCAGCCAGTTACCCCACTCACCAGTCACAGCACACTCCTCTTCAGCTGTTCAACCAGTCCCCAGCAGGACCATGGGTTTGCCTGTCCCACCTCCTTGTCTGAGTGGATGCTCAGTCAAGGAGGCAGGCAGGGAAGTACATCCTCTTGCAAGAGACTGGCCAGCGGGGGAGCACGAATCGCTGAACCAAGGTTTGTGCCCATCTCTGTTCCCAACCATGGGTAAACCTGGTTCTTGGACTGCAGTTCCCAGAAGCCTTCACTTCCAGTTGTGCTGGCTGTGGTTTCTGGGAATTGCAGCCCAAGAAAATCTGGGTTACCCAAGGTTAGGAACCATGGGTACAGACCCAAATATAATAGCTGGCTTCTTAATATCCACAATGTTGATCATCTGCAGAAAAGTAAGTTCCTGGATCTCGACTTTTAAAGAAAGATTTGGAAATCATCATTGCAAAACCTGATACAGTATAGCATCAGAAAGCAGGATGGACTCCCTTAGTCTCATCTAAACTCACATAGTTGTACAGGGAAAGAGGAGATCTATGAATGTTACCTTGATAAAGAATGAGATATAAATATAAATGGGGGAATGCACATGTATAGGTTTGGGACTACAAAAAGCTTATGTTTTTCTGCTAAAAGAATCATGTTTTCTTTTGGTCTACAGATCTACCTCAGGAACTTTGGAAGCTGTAAAACACCAAACCTGCACACTTCTAAATGTAACTAAAAAGTAACTGGGCAAATGTTCAGTGCCACCCACTTTTCTCCTAGTCTTGGACAAAGCTCTAAAGCTGAAATTTGGAGTAAGTCTCATTGAACGGAGTAACACTTCTGCGTAAGGATATATAGGACTGGAATTCATTATTGTTCTCATATCCTCTGCTCGTATAGTGCAAGCCTCACTCCTGTATTTCAACATCCTGGCACCTGTAAGAAACCAGATATTGCATCCACATTAAGGTTGACTATGATTCATGTTGTTCATAAGAGTAAGTACATAATTTGAACTTTTTAATTACAGAATACATTTGGAAGTAGATTGTTTCTTTAAAAAGATACCTAATATATCCAATAACAAAATTGTCAGATTTTCATATTTCTTTCTCTCTCTCACACACACACACACACATTCTCACACACACACACACACACACACACAGAGAGAGAGAGAGAGAGAGAGAATTCATTTTTAAAAATGTAGCCAGCAAGTTCATTTTTAGAATACATAACAAAAAACTGCATTGGTTATTTTTTTAATTTGGAGAAGTTAATATTCTTGCCAGCCCATCAGCATTTTTTACTAAGAAACTTTTAGCAAAGGCTTACACACCATTAATCAAAAGACAAGGAGCAAAAGCTTTGGAGATTAAAATAAATTAAAAAGGCCCAAATTTACGTTCAAATCAAAAAGTTGTCAAAAGATGGCTGGGGATGAAGATACTTAAAATAAAAGTTTTGTCTACAAATTCTGAGGAGAGAAAGTAGTGTAATAAACCTCCATACCAGAAGCAGTGCTCAGCGTGTGAAACAAATATGGAGAAAATACAGCAGAGACAATCAAGAAAATATCACAGTAGGACTGTGTGCATTCCCATTGTCTATCTGTATTAGTACTATCCTTGCTTTCCAGTCCCTTTCTCAGGGAAGCTCCCCATTTTGTTCTGACTATCTGTTTTGTAGGGACTCCTTGTTAACATTGTAGTGCTGCTGATCTGTTGGAATTCTCCCTTCTTGTCCAAGAGTAGATTCTAGAAGTCTCACCTATAATGCATATTTCTTACTTTACAGGGGAGAGAGGCTTCTATTTCTGTTTCAGTGCCACTCAGCAAAGTACCCCAGCAAAGTGCACTCTTGAAGGTGGAATCTGAAGAGCAAAGGAAAATCACCATGACTCCTTTTCTGTAATCCGTTGTTTTGTTCATAACCTCAGCAATGGAATGACCACCCACTTAGAAGTTTGACTTATTTCAAATGGTTTTGATATTCTTCTGGTAACATATGTATTTGTGTGTATTTGGGATGTTAACCAAAGTGTAAAGTCCAAAAATCCATGTTCTTAACTGAAAGATGCAAAATTTAAGTTGGGGGAAAACTCCACATCCCGTATTTATTTTTAGACAAAATAATTAGCAAAGATTCTAAAAACACAAATCAATGAATGTGTCATGCAATAATGAGAAAATTGACAATCATTCTGCCTTTTCCCAATTTCCAACAATATAAATATATTTTTTCAGAAAAGATGGAAGGGAGAAGACAATCAATCCATGTGGGGATATTTTTGCTGGGCCATCTATCCTTAATAATGATGTTAGTGTTTTGAACAATTACTGGTCTAACCTCCACCAATCTCACTCTACATTTATTTGCACATTTCTGTCTAAAAGAGGAGCACCTTACTGCATTTTTACCCATTTCTTTGCTTCTAACGTACAGTATAGCTTGTTTGCTGGATAGTGTTTGTAAACTTGCATGTAGCTCAAAACTGCCATATCCAAAGATTTTTTATACAGAAATGAAGCAAGCAAGTGATGGCTGTGGGCTATTACATTGCAAGGAACTCTTCAAAGCCCAATGGGCTTGAGTTCATCGTGCCATTTCATGCTGATTCTGTCCTTACCCTTGAGCAGGAATAAATTGCTCTCTGACCAAATATCCCAGCATTCTTAGAGTGCCAGATCTGCCTCTATCAAAGTGCATCTGTGACCCTGCCTCTTTTGTTTTTTCTCCATCATTATTGATGGATCCGTTTCACTGTTTTTGAACCAAGCAGCTTTCTCTGAATGAGAACTCCCTCCTGAGTCCCAGATCTTTAACTGACAGCCAGCTGTCAGCTAGTCAGTCACACGGTCACCCTTCTAATGACATAAGACCAGTGGATCACTGCCAAGACCACCATCCATGAATAGAAACAGCCTACAGAAGGGCACATGGCTCGCCCGGGGCTGCAGCTTTCATTTTGCTACAGACAGCATCTTCGACAGGGTCACTACTACTGAGCTGCATGGAAATCATCAGTACAATTATTCCTGTACTTCTGTTTCTTCTCTGAATTAATCCATCCCCAGATAAGAGCATGTTCGCTTCCCCCCCCCTCGATGTTTACTGCATCTCTCTCTCTCTCTCTCTCTCTCTTTCTCTCTCATATGCAAAAAAGATATATGGACACAGTAAAACCAGAGGGAAAATATTTCAGCCTCTCATAACACTCTGGGTCTTGAGAATCACCTAATCTCAATGGTTCTGGAAACAGAATTGGGTTGGGAGTATTTAGCAGTTAGATGGGAGACCACCAGGGAATAATAAGGAGCTCCAGAAAGAGTTAAGAAAGCCCCCGGAGAGCCATTGTTCCCCCTTAGAGTATGATCACATGGGGAAATAGAATGGGATTTGAACCACTTGAGCAGCATTCCAGTCCCTCTTAATTCCCAGTGGTCACACAACATACAGTACAGGGAAATGTGCTCCAGCCTAATCCCAATCAGTGCCCAAGCTGGACTTTTTGGGTCCAGATGTAGGGCTTCTACTTTTGAAGGCTGGGCTGGAGATATACCCTGGCAGATAGAAGGATTACTTCAAGGAAGATTGCTCCTGTTAAAGCAACCCTTTCCAGCACAGTCAAGTGCTTGTCTGTGCAGCCCTCTGATCATAACCTCAGAGTGACTATGGTGAACTAGATAAACCAATGATCTGATTCACTGTAAGGGTGTTCCTATGTTTCTCTCTAGTCTAGCCAAGGAGGCTCCACTCCTGCCCTTCCCATATTCAGCCCGGTGGTCTGAAAGGCTGTTCCAAAGCACAATCAGCTAATCACACTTAGAATCTCCTTCAGATGTCCAAGTTATACATAGCTGTTAAGAGTGAGGCCAATAAGGATGGACATGTTGGAAGTGGGTTGAGGCATAAGCCCCCATGTGTTCTTTGAGTATAAGTAGACCTAAGGTCTGAATTGAATAGGGCTTATGTCACTGATGGCAAAGTAGCCAGTCCTGAACAAAAGAACTCTGCAGGGAATCTCCAGCAAGAAACTAAAATTTGTCAAGAAATACTTTTTTTCTATCCTGTAGTGCAGACTGAATCAAGACATCTGGTTTATCCCCACTTAGTGTTAATTGGCTTGCCCATTCCAGGATCACATGTGTGCATGTTTTCCAAAAGATGTTGCTTTTCTTTTTGAAATTAAAAAAGAAGAAGAGGTTGGAGTTAGCAAACAATGTCACTGGAAACCAAGGTCAAAATCATCCATAGCATGTGAAAGAAAGACAGGGAAGAAAAACAGGGACAAATCAACTCATTTGAAATGTGCCACATACTAAAGACAGCTAGAAAAGCAGAAAAGTGGATGCTCAATGAAGTCAAGCCACAACTCTCACTCTTAACAAAACTGAGTAACTAGAGCCTATCCTACTCAGCACATATAATGGAAATGCAGAAGTGACAAGAATAGACTTTATTGCTGGGGAAAGTGGGTTTGGTCCAGTAGACAATGAGGAAGAACATGAGATGGGTTTATTTGATAAAGGAAGCCACAGCTATTAGTTTGCAAGATCTAAGCAGAATTTAATGGAAAAGACAATATTCCTAGGAGAGGGGAGCAGCAGGAAATGATGAGATGATGTTGGTTTGCAACCTTGGTTTACAAGATCTGAGCAGAGCTCTTAATGACAGGACATTTTGGAAGTCGGTAACTCATATTGAGCACGATCACCCTGGCATATAGTCATCACAGCCACCAGAATGACATCTAAGAGGAAAGGAAGGGAAGGGGGGAAGGGTAAGGAAGTTGACTCCATGGGCCCTACCCACACAAGGCAGCACACTCCCAGCAGAGCCCCAGCTGAGAAAGGTGGGGGAAAGGGTTTTTTTAAAAACTCCCTTCTGTCTCCCTAACCTTCACCCCAATGTTCTCCCCTCACACTACAGTTGTCCTTGGCTACTGTTACTGTTGTCTCATTACTTGTAATCCAGGTAAAACTTTGAGATCATCCCCAGGCACAAAGTAAAAATAAATAAATAAAATTAATTTCACAACTTAAATGAGTAAGCTGCTGAATAGTATTCTCTTTATAAAAATATCTTTTTAAATATTTTCACAGGAAGGAGTTTAATGTTTGCCTAGGGAGGAACTCAGTGTTTTCTTTCACAGTCATTGAATAGGTTTCTGAGTGGAAAGGTCAAAAACGTGATCCATTTATAATCCTGGCAATATATAAGGAAGCCCAAATTCTCATAATTTATCTCATTTTAAAACCACTAACTTCAAAGTGTGTACTTTTGCCATGAATGGCTGAATGCCTTCCAGTTTTTTTAAAAAAATGGGAGCTGGGACTGAACATTTTCTTTCAAGGTAAGCAAATCTGGTCTTATCAATTTATTTCATATGTTTCAAATCAACCAAAGCTCAAGGTCACTTGCTTCTGCACAGGGTTAGAGCAGTGTTACTTAAAAAAAAAACACATAACTTGAAAACCCTTTATCCAAACATCCCCGATTTTGGCACAGAGGAAGAGCAAACATTCTATTACACCCATGCTAGTTTTGGTGCTGATCTGAGGACCAGTTTCATAGTTATATATATTTTTTTGTTTGGGGCACTCCTGTTTTTTGAGTTGCTTCATGGAATGCTGAATCCTGCTGGCAGCATAATATATTGGTGCCCTCCCCGGCACCAATAATAAAATAAATAAATAATTGGCCACCCTTTCATGGCTCTTCCAAATCTGCTACATGTGGCAACTGTCTTGCCCCATCTAATGACAGGGTTGATCCTGACAATACTGCCACCTTACCGTGTGTTCCATTGCCTCCCATAGATCTAAGATGTCTTCAATGCTAAGTTGAATTTTGGCAGCATCATTTTGAATTCTCAAGTTGAGTACAATAATGTTAACCCCTAACACAGCTTTTCATAGGTCTCTGCATGTGGTAGCAGCAGCTGAATGGTGAATATACATCATAAAATTAAATGATTGGGTGGAACATAATGCAACTGATTGCGACTAAATGAATGTTTCTTGCCTCCCTAGAACTGGGTTACTTCTGTACAGCGCCAATAACATATGAGCTTAAATGCTACATTGTCCCCCAAGGCCACATTGGTGAAAGCAGACAGGATATCAGTAGGATTTACCATGTTAACAATATCTATTGCCCTAAAATCTTACACCAAAACTGGCCCTTGAGATGTCACAGAAGCAGGCCCCAGCACAGGGGGAACATGTTGGCTTCTTAGCCTGTTAATTGTGGAAATAGGCATAAGGGGAATTTGGATAAATGGGCCCAGGTGAGATCTGGCTAACCAGGTAATACTGTATTAGGCTTGCCATTCAGCCCATTAGGAATCTTTCCCCAGCCTTGCTCTGAGCCTATGAGGTCTTCTCCAAGAAGAAGTGTCCCAAGTTGAAGCCAAATACATGCACGGAGTGGTCCACTCCCAAGTCCCTTTCCACTCTGCCTTTGTTTTTTGATGTGCTAATTCTATGCAAGGGCAACATAGCTACAAACAGTTCTACTGAGGCTAGGAAGCCCTAATGACAGCTGACAAAGGGTACTGCTCCTCCTGAGTCTCTCAACTTTGTCTCCTCATCTGGAAGCCAAGAGAAACATACCGATGCTCTGACACCAGGCAACCATAGACACCAGTGGGTTGTCAACAATAGCTTTTCTTATTCTATGCCTAGCTGCAGGTCTAACAGTATTTTCTCAACTTTCCCTACAAATTAGATTTGAATGGTATGGTCAAGTCCTAATTCAATTTGAGATGTGAATGCTTAATATATATTCTAGTGTTACTCTGAACATAAATACATAAGCACAGGGCAAGGCAAAACAACAGTTTAGATTCTGAAAGATGCCCCAAGGAGTGTTTTGTACATCGGTGTACTGATAAACCTGGAAGTGAGGGAACTCATCACAAGTCTCCATAGCCAACCCATAAGGAGAGTCCAAAAATGGACACTTTGCATTATGACAGGAATAGCCTACCTCCCCATTGCGACTGCCCACTCACAGAACGTAGTGTGAGCTTCTCTCCTCTGCCTCCGATGGCTGTCCGCTCCAAGACAGCATTGCAGGCTTCCCTGCCCCATCGCCTCATCTGAGTGAGTGGCTGTCAGGGGAGGAGAGACACGCACACTGCATTCTTGTGAGTAGGGAAGTCATGCTGGGGAAACAGGGAGCAAAACACGCGTCACCTGGGGAATGGGAGAGCACACATAGGAGGCACAAGAGGGGAGTGTGCAGTGCCCACGTAACACCTGTGCAGGCATGGCGCCATTGCGGGCTGAACTACTGAAATGCAGTTTGTGCCCACCTATAGTCTTAAACTGCTGGGGTTCTAAATGTTAGTGTCAGCACTTTGAGCCTGGCCTCATTTCTTGGGACACAACAGACATAACCCCCTAAAAAATCATAACCCCCTAAAAAATAAAGGTACATTCTACCCAAAGAATGCAGCAAGAAATTGTACAAGAATCACTGTTCCAAATTCATGCCCAAAATGCATGGACATCATCATAAATTAAACCCTACATTTGGTTGCTAGCCCCAGTGGTTTAGATCTCTGGCTGCAGATTCAGAGTCTGGGAGTTCAATTTCCCACTGTGCCTCCTTGACATGGGCTGGACCTCATGATCCATAGGGTCCCTTACAACTCTGAAGTTCTAAGATGATGATGATAATGTATTAATGAATGTAAGTCAACACATTTGTAGGTCCCAATGATTCAGTGGGTCTACTGCAAGGTTTCATTGGAGTCTCAAGGGCTGATGAGATATGTAGTCTCACTCTATAGAGTTGGTCTGTCATAGCCCTGAACCCTTGTTTGCTTCTTCTGGAAAAGTCAATATAATGGCAACAGAAGCTCAAGTGGAGGTGAGAAAAGCTTCTTTTTAAGCTGCTTTTTGGGGGTGGCATCTCCTAGGACTCTGCCTGGGGAAATTTCTGGTGAACTCTGACAGCTGTTGTCCAAATGAACTGAAAGTCCCATGCCTGCAGGGTTTGCCAGGCTGAAAGTCATTTTACTGTGAGGAAAACAATTTAAACTTATGACAGACGTCAATAAGTAGAGATAGCTCTGCGGTCTCTTTTTCTGCTCAATCATCAGTTCACATTTTCTACAT